TGTAACCATAGTTCTTTGAGTGGTCCTCTGTGAATTCACACAACCCCCCCATCCTTCCCCTCTATCCGTCACGGGTTAATTATGTAATTAATTAATTCTTTCCTTCATACCTGGCGGATAAAATTTAGGAACTGGGGAAGATAGTGGGTGGGAGAAGCATATACCTTGTGGAGGATCACACCATAAAATTGTTACTTTTAGTTCTAGAAACTTCCGAGAGAGTCAGCACAGGCGCAGACAATACCCATATGTGTGAATTCACAGAGGACCACTCAAAGAACTATGGTTACATGTAAATAACCTCTTTTTAAATAAAAGTTTTTTGTGACTTAGTGTCACCTGCACTTAGTCATTTTAAAATAGATGTGTGTTGATGGCATTGGTTTGTAAATAACGTTGTCTCTTGTACTCATTGAACAGTTATATATGAACTGTTGCTCTCAACTGATAATGGTTTTCTCTTAAATGTGAAGGAAAATACAGCAATAAATAAATAACAGATCGTTCTTTTTCTCTAAAGCATGCTTTTCTTCTCAACTAGTAGTCTATAGTTTGAATGTATTCATCACATTAGAAATAGCTTAGTCTATAGAATTCCTTGTTTATTGTTTTTAAAAGTTATAACTTGCTTATTGTACAAAATGTCCCCCTCTCAGGTAGACTATGAATTTCATAAAAGAAGAACAGACAATTAGAGTCCAGTTGTTTATAATAATAAATTGATTGTGGTTTTACAATAAGTATGTTTGAGCTTAAACCAATGAGTTTAAAAAAAATAGTCACTGTCATAACGTGTATGTTTGTTGGTATTCAATTAGTGATTATAGTGGGCACCTTTCATAGTACATTACTTAAGAGTATTTTAAGCAAAATGTTGGATGATCATGTTGTTCATAGGCAAAGAAATACAATTGTAGCTCTCAAATTACTAATTAAAGTGTTCATTTATTTTTTCTTACAGACCACAACATCAGTTTAGAGTCTATGGATGTAACAGTGAATGCTGTGGCAGGAGCTCTTAAAGCTTTCTTTGCAGATTTGCCAGATCCTTTAATTCCTTACTCACTCCATCCAGAATTAGTTGAAGCATCAAGTAAGAAATTACATATTCAACAGAGAATATACTGTTGCTGTTAGAAGTATTTATAAATTGTTTTTCTGTCCCCTGGTGCCCCCGGAACAGTAGATTGTGCATTGCCTTTCAACAACTTTGTGAAAAATAAACATTTTGCTGAAATAAGGATTGAAATCTAGTAGTATATGTCTGTCAGCATGCTGGCAGCATACCGTGGATGGAACACATTATGTACAATATATATCCCCCTTAATGCAGATTAGGAATGCATGTACATGCCAGAGGCACAGGGAGAGGTAATACAAATCCCTTTATTTAAGGAGAAGAATACTCATACAACATTGGCTACATCAGGTGGACTTCATTGTTATCAGTATATGGAAAGAATGAGGTTATTCATTTGCACTAAGCTAGTTTCACTCTGTCATCCATCCACTAGCAGAATGGGAGTGTCTTCACCTATCTGTTGCCCAAGAACCTGTTCTGAAAGGCTTTCCAGCTTTTTAGAGTACATATGGAGGGTGCATGGTGAATTTTAGGGGAGAGGAGGAATTGCCTCTTTCCTTGTTCTGGTAACAGGAACAACCGCATTGGATCCTGGCTAGTTTTTTTGATAAATCCAAATGCAAAAGGTGTATATTGCTTAGCTTTTCTGGAAGTACAAACAGTCCTTCTGCTTGTGGAAGGGTTTCCAAGGCTTGTGCATATGTCATCTGCTTAACAAGATATGAGTCAATCTCCAGTGGTCTTTTCATTTAAATTTCAACTGTGGATTGGAGAAAGAGTATTGCAAGCAGGTGTGCACTTTTGAGGTGGAGTGGGGAGGGTCAAATGATTATATCTATATACAGTGGTGCCCCGCATAGCGACAATCTGTTCCGGAAAAATCGTCGCTATCCGGATTCGTCACTATGCGGAAAGAAAAAGCCCATAGGAATGCATTAAACCCCGTTTAATGCGTTCCTATGGGCTTAAAACTCACCGTTCTGCGAAAAGCCTCCATACGGCTGCCATTTTTGCTGCCCGGTATGCGAGGAAACAGCGCGAAAACACTGCGGGCAGCCATTTTGGAACCACCAATCAGCTGTTTTAAAAACATCGCTATGCGAAAATTGGTAAGCGAAACAGCTTACCAATCATCGCAAAGCGATGTTTTACCATTAAAAACATTGTTATGCAATCGCAAAAACGATCGCAAAAAATCTGTCGCTATGCGGATTCGTTGTTAAACAAGGCACTCGTTAAGCGAGGCACCACTGTACAGTCTGTTCTCTCCTACAGTAAAGACAGTGAAGAAAGAACTTCACTTTATCTGCGTAGAGTAGCTAGCACCAGCATCACTGAAGGAAAGTATTTAAGGTAATCTTGGAAATAGGCCTTCTAATGATTTCCAACACAATATTATAGCAAGATAATAACTTCAGTCAGAGTTGGAACATACAACTTCTCCAGTCTTTTATTTTTCTGGTTGGTGTGGGTTTTTTGGGCTCTCTGGCCATGTTCTGAAGGTTGTTCTTCCTGAAGTTTCGACAGTCTATGTGGCCAACATCTTTAGAGGACTGGAGTAGGAACTCTGTCCATGCCCGAAAAACCCACAACATCCCGGCCGTGAAAGCCTTCGTGAATACATTACTTTTATTTTTCTTTTCTGTGTGTTGCTATTAGCATTATAGTACAAACCCAATCTGAGTTCTGCAGATTTTCTAGTACCTGCTTGACTTGGCTACTAGGTGAGATAAAAGATTAATCCATATAATACTGAACCTCATAAAAATAAGGCTCTGATTAAAGAAACTTATACAACACACTTTTTTAAAAAAGATGTAGAGTGGTATTGTTTCATTATTTAGAATTAGAATTATAAATGCACTAATTATAAATTCTGTAAATAATGTGATTTTTGAACTATAAGATATTGTCCAGATTCCTGTTAGGAATTTACACAAGTATAATTACATAAATTGCAGCAGCAAGTTAAGCCAGTTAATGATCTGCCATAAGTGATTTTATTTATGACTTAGTATGCAGCAAGGAATGTAAGCAGCAGCTAATTAATTAGTGGTGGTTCACTGTCATGGTTTGCAGAATTTCACTTCTGCCAGTGTAAATCCCCAATAGGATTCTGCCCATTTTAAATTGAAACCATCATTACATTTCTTTCCTCTCCCCTCCTTCCCTACCCTTTTTCCACCAATAGGTGAAGACCCATCTTTTCGGGCAGACTTTTAACCACCATTATTGAGTCACTGAATGCCATTTTTAAGATACCCTGTTTCCCCAAAAATAAGCCCTAACCTGAAAATAAGCCCTAGTATGACTTTTCAGGATGCTTCTATAAGCCCTACCCACAAAATAAGCCCCAGTTAAATGAAATCCTGCCCTCCACCATTGTGCAGCAATCAGAAAAAGATGAAATGACTATATTTGAATAAATGTAGATTGTTGTACATGAAAAAAAATCCTCTGAAAATATGCCGTAATGTGTTTGAGCAAAAATTAATATAAGACCCTGTCTTATTTTCAGGGAGACATGGTAGTTTTAAATGTTTACCTGCCTTTAATTATTCAGTTGTATTTTAATTAGTGTATAGTTTAATTATTTTTTAATGTTTAACTTATTATGTTTTTAAATCAATTCTTTTAATATTGTGAACTGCCTTGGGTCCCCTTATCAGGAGCAAGGTGGCCTATAAATAAAACAAATTAACAACAGCAAGAATAGGGGAGATATCCAAGCTTAATTCTCCATTTGAATTTATTCTCTGAATTCAAAGGCTAGGGGCCTGAGGGGCTTTCACTTAGAGGACTGTTTGTGAAATAAGCTGATAACCAGAGAAGTGCATTTCAGATTTTTTGGATTCTGCCTGACAGACCCACCTTATGCCAGATAGACACACATCTACATATAAATTTAGCTCACCTGGAGAAAGTTGTATATGGTAGATTTCATGTCCTGGCTTCTTGGTCTAGCTCCTGCCTCACTTTCTTGATCTAGCTTACTTTTATAGTACGAAGGAAGCTAGCCCATGAAACCATGCTGGCAGTTGTAGTCTAAAACTCCAATGGTGCATCCATATAGATAAAATTTTTGGCTGAATGGTCATGAATTTAGTGCTAAATTGCTTCCAAACTTTGATTGAATTTAGATCTCATTCTTAATAGTGTGACTAGGTAGTTATGATTTAAATGTCACTGACAAAAGGAATTTTAAAGCTTGGATTTGTAGTGTTCGGTCATCTGTATTAATGAACTCTTAGAGAATAACAATCATAAAGTACTAGTCTGTGTAAATGTTCCGAATTTATTTAAAATTTCAAACTATGTGAAACTTGGCTTCTTTGTCTGCCGAAGCAAAAATCCATGAATTTAATCTGGATTGCCAAATAATCTTATGCCGCTTCAACCAGGCAAGAACCCATACTTTCATTGATGCCATCCACACTAACCACTGATTGATGCTTCTAATAAATACTCATAATTTCCTATATCATTTTGGTCCCATGTTTGAGAAGTGCTTTTCTAAAACATAACCATTTGATATTTTATATGCTCCTTTCCTGAAAATATGTTGCCTTTCCTGAGTTCATTATTGTTATCTTTTTCTAGAAGAAGAAAGGCTGTTGGAATACATATTTTAGAGATTGAAAACTTCCCTCAAAGTAACTTGGAATGAGCTTGATTTTTCAGTGATTTTTTCAAAAGAATTTTCAAAGACTAAATAGCCCTCAGTAGTCTTTTTAGTGTGTCTAGTTTTCCTACTGTTTCCCTCCTCTCCAATTGCCTTGAGAAAAAAGTGGGGCTGGAAACAGGGCATCATGGAATGCTGGAGACACCAGAAGGCCTTTGTTTAACTTCTCAGTGTTGATTTACAAAGGATTTTTTTCAGTATCTGGAAAAATTTATTTCTACAGAAATCCTTGATAAAACAGAGAGGCTCTATGAATTAAAAGAAATTGTGAAGAAATTCCATCCAGTGAACTATGAAGTCTTCAGATATGTAATAACTCATCTAAACAGGTATTTACAGTATTAAATATTAATATAAAGGGGTATCAATTGGACATTTTACATTTGCCAAAATTACTAAATATAAGCTCTTTTTATGTTTTAACTGCTTTTTGCCTATGTACAAAGTTGTCTTCTTCTCCTATAGTATATTTTACTGTACTGTATGTGGAATTGATGTTAAGAACTGATAACAATAATAAGAGCCTTTTCTGTATATCCCACAGCATGTTTTTAATGTTGATGTTTATATGCATCATTGTATGAAACAAATAAATGACACACTCATACATTTTGATTTCATGGGTTTTGACTACAGGTTATTAAAAGAACTGGCTGCGTTCAAGTAGAGTAGTCCGTATTATATCTGGCTGGATAACTCTGTGGATGAGGTATCTGGCATCACAGTTTGATGGCTCACTGTGGAGTTTGATGGCTCACTGTGCCTCCTGCATGTAGTGCCAACCTGTATGGCCTTGGGCAAGCTGCACAGTCCCAGAGCACCCTCAGAAAGGAATGGTAAATCACTACTGAGTATCCTCTCCCTGGAAAACCATGAAAAACAACACCATAAATCAGAACTGACTTGATAGTGCATGATTATTTTTATTACTATAGTCCATATTTTAATAATCAAAGGCTCTATGTTGTGCCCTGCCATTAAGATAAGTAAGGTTGGCAGTCAGTAGCAATAGGACATCTGGTAGTGTTGTCTACCATATGGAATTCTCATCTGATAAATGTACAGCAGACTTCTTTTGAGAATGTGTTAAAATGCAGCTGCTCTCTTCAAGATTTTAATACTGTAAGAATCATAGTGTTTGTGCTACAAGTTACTTTAGAAAGACTATAATCTTAGTGAAGGAATAAATTAAATGAGAGTTGTGTAGGAATCCATGTTTGGTTTGATCAGATGTCACTTCCTGAATATTATATGGTAGAAGCAGTGATTCTCAGACTCATTCTTGGCATTTTATATTCATTTACAACAAGAGAAAATCATGTATATTGAGACATTATTCCACTGAGGAAAATAGGTACAGATGGACACAAGTCCAAGACTAAGGTATTCTCAAGTTGATTTCACGATGTAAAGCTTGACCAGCTTCTCATTACTAAAAGCTACAGCACTTTTGCTGCTGTTCAGCATGGTGAACATTATTGTGTACAGTATTTACAAATATATATATTTTACATCTTTAAAGTTTACTTATCAGATATTAACTCTACCATATTTTTATTCATATTATAGGGTTAGTCAGCAAAGCAGAAGCAATTTTATGACTGCAGATAACTTGTCAATCTGTTTTTGGCCAACTTTGATGAGACCTGATTTTGAAAACAGAGAGTTCCTATCAACCACCAAGATCCATCAGTCTGTAATAGAGACATTCATTCAACAGTGCCAGTTTTTCTTCTATGGTGGAGAAATTCTAGAAACCTCTGACAGTGTGGCACATCAACCTCCACCTCCCAACCCAGTGCAGATGGTAGATCCAATTTTACCATTCCAGTTACCACCACCACTACAACCTCAACTGATACAACCTCAGTTGCAAGCAGATCCTCTTGGTATTATCTAAACATCACAACTGTCAGCAAAGTCAAGATGATGCAGGCAGCTTGGAAAAGGAAAACTAAGCATGCATGCTTCAAGATACAAAAACAGCTCTCATATGAAAGAATACGGATCCAAACTGAAGAAGTTTTGTCCCAGTAATACTATAAACCGTGTTCATAAACGCTGCAGGTCAAAATTATGTGATGAGCATGACTGGAGAGGTTTAAATTTTTAAACAGAAATAACTGAAGTGCAAAGCTGCTGTTGCATGAACATTTATTGCAATCACTATCATTCCTGTGACAGTTTGTCACAATATATTGTGAATAAAACTTTTCTATAGAAATGTAATGATTAAATAAATCATTTATGGAACATTCAGTGCTTACAGCCTGCTTTAGGGCTGTTTTTGTTATTTAATGCTTGTTCTTTCGGGCAGTTTCATTTTTACTTAGTCTTTTGCTGTGAACAGCTATAATACAGCTGTGTTCTGTTTGTAAATTCCAAACTACTTACATTACATTACATTTTGTTACTCAAAGAGCATAAACTGCACTGTTCTAAATCCCACACTCCCACACTTTCCATTTCTTTTTAAGAAACCTGTGGACATGTTTGTTTTAGGGCGGGGGTGGTAATATTATTTTTCTTACAGCACAATACCAAGGACATGCTTATTGTAAAAGTGAGTAGCCATTGTGCAAAAATGTTGCTACAACCTTCTTCCCCTTATTTTGCATTAATGGATGGAACATTTTGTAATACTGTTAATTCTGTAAACAGCTGCATGTATTAAGATCATTGATGGTCTTGTAAACCTAATCTAATATATTTTAGATATTTTAATTTTTCCCATTGGGGAATTCATCTAGTATATAGAAAATAGTTTGACATTTTCATATGGCTATATAACTTTTCATACATAAATGAGAATTTTGTTGTAGTGTAAACTTGCTAAACCAAACAACCTAGGTCTTAAATTTAACATATACATTATATCTATTTTTCTGTGGCCCTTTAAAGGTATAAAAAACATTGCTAATATATAGCAATAAATACTTTGGGTACTGAAGCATCTTAATGTGTACATAAATGACATTTGTATTTGCGTGGGTTTTCCCCCTGTTATTTGTTGTACTTAAAATTCAAAATTACTCTGTTTGCACCATTTGAAAGTTATTTTTCCTTTTACATTGGTACATGTTTCCTGTAAAAGAATGCTGCTTAAAATTTTAAACACCTTTGGTTCATCTTTGGTGTTTAGTAAATGTGACAGAATACTAGTAATTGTTGAACGTATTTGAGTGGAGTCTAAAAGCTTATGAGTTGAATTCACTTTGTCATCTGGAAACTGAAGGGCTTTTTCTACCTGTTGAAGGCTTTTGATCTAAATGAGGGATCCCATAGGAGAAGATTGCCCCTGCAATCCCCAGAGCACTCTCTCAAGCTCAGGACCATTGGTTTGGAGGGCAAACGGTGAACTGGCAAGAGTTGCCTTCTCCTTTTGCCAGTAGGGTAAAGTTTGAATCCAAAAACCTTTGACTTTCCTAATTACCATTTTATTCCATTTTCAAATTAAGTTTTTTTCTGAAAGGAAAAATTTGGTTTAGTCAGCTGCTGGATGAAAAAAAACTACACTTGCCATTATTATCTTCATTCATAGTTTGTACAGCTGGTAGAATCATTTGAAGTACATGAGTTGCAAGCATTTTAGGAATTGAAATTCTTAAGAGCTTTGCTCTATTTCTCAAAAAAAAAAAAAATAATTAAAATGCCTTTTTCAATTTTTATGTCCTAGGTATTGTACTTCTAATTATGACTTGCATTATCATTCTAGTTAAGAAACCATAACCTAGGCTGCTGTTGAATTATTTGTATATTATAAATTATCTTGATTTTTGTGTTATATTCTTGCAAGTAATTATCTTTTCTATAAAAACAACAAAAACCCTCTATTCTGATTCAAAGCACACAGGATATAAATACAATAATAAAAATTTGTCCTGTAAACATAGTAGCATTAACTTCTTTTACATTACACCTGTGATCAAGATAGCTTTTATTTATAGTCATCAGTTCTAACGTAGGCATGTTGAGAAAAAAATAAACTTCAAGAGTTTTATAAACTGTTTCTAGGTTGCTAAAGAATTTATTTTTCTACTATAGATGGTATAGACAAAAGCATCAAACTGTACAGAAAAAAAGCTTATTTCTATTTCAAGTAGGCTTAAATTTTTCAGTGATATCCATTTAAAGAATTTTGTCTAACACAATGAGAGTTGAAGTTTGATTTTCCATTTAGAGTTGTCTTTTTGTAAGCTAGTACAATTTAGATTTCATGCTGATAATCTGTTTTGTTGTCCATACAGCTAGGATTAAACTTGTTGTCAAAGCATCATAAGTGAGAATTTGAAATTATTATGTTCTGAAACTCTTCCCATCCTATAACTTGTTAAAATGCTGCTCTTAGTTTACCTAGGACCATCAGTTGTGGTGATCTTCATGCAGCAACAAATAATAATTTAATCCATAATCAGAATACAATGTTAACACTCCATTGTGCTTCTTAAATCTGAATTATGTCCATAGATGGCAAGCTTCACTTAAAAAATAATTAGCATGTGTCATCTGCTTGTCATTTCTTTGTGATCATTACATCAAAATTAAATTGCTATAGATGCTCTCCAGCAGAGACTGTAGGATGTATTTTTACCTGTTGCTTTCAATTCAGCATCATCTCATAATATAAAATACATGTGCACATGCACTCCCCATTTAGAAACATTTGGTGGACACTGCTAACTTAAAAGAAAATCTTATGCATATCACAAATGTTTTTTTTTAAAAGCAGACCTATACAAAAATTAGTATCTAGTATTTTATTTGTTCTTTTTGGTTAATGAAGTAATTTCTTTTAGTTTCCACTTTTCTGAATTTTCAAGCCATGGAAATTGTTAATATTGTGAATTCAGTCAGTTTTACAGTAATGTGAACAGTGTTCAACAGGTGTCTGTTTAATGCCAGCATCTTCCATACTGACCTTTGCTGGAGTGTACAGCTTTAGGCTGCAGTCTTAGGCACAGTTGTGCTTGAATAAATCTCATTGAGATCAGTGAGATGGATTGTAGGCTTAAGGCAGCGATCCTAAATGACTAGGGAGCATTTCTAAATGCTTAGTATCATGCTGTTGTGTGTTTAATGCGTATTTGAACATTTTATATGTCTGCTTAGTCCCACACAACACATTAAGTGACATTTTATATTAAATGTTTTACAAATTATTTTTACATTACACTCAAAGATTTTAACATAGTGTAAATAGCTATACAACTTTAATGAAGAGCAACAATTTTTCACAATGTATGTTTTCTGCATTACTTGAATACTGGTTGCTAGAAACTACCATTGACTTGTTTATTTTTGAGGTACTGGAGTGTAATCTCTTTAAAACTGTAAAGAAACGAAGTAATTGGCAAACTTTAAAAATAGGCCATGACTTCTGTTGTGATTTCATTTTTTACCATAACTGTGATACTATATCATCTGAATATATATACTTTTAAAATTCCTTTTGATTCATGTAATCTTGTCACCACCTACAGAATGCTACAGTGAATTAAATATCAGTGAAGCTTATCTGTATGCAGAATGCAATGAATAAAACATTAAGATGCCTACTGTGTATAATGTTTAGTTACATATTTAACTTCTGACAGGTAAACTTAGTCCTATTGAAGTAAATACAATGGTGCTCTGACAAAGGGTACAACTCTTATTTTTATACTGATTTTAACCAACTGTAAATATTGCTAAAAGTTTGAACAGTTTAGTAATAAGCATATAGTAGTTAGAACTGAAGGGGTTGTTTTGGAAGTTTAAAATTACTTAAGGTTTATTTTCTCTTATAGTTGCAGTGTGTGAGTAGTGATTCAGAGAAATTCACTTCTGTAGGTTTAATTTATTCAGAAATATACATAAAACACAGATATGAAATTTATTTTAAGATTAATGTGTTTGTAGATTTAAGCCCACCATTTTATTTTACCATGAACTATCTATGCAGACATTGCATATTGTGTCTGTTTTGAATTTGTGAAGCAAAACTTGGTTTTACTGTTTTTTCAATATATTTTTCTTTGATTTTGTGTGCGTGTGTAGTCATCCCTTCCTCCCTCTCTTTTCTTATTGCAGTTTTTGTATTGGCTTAAGTAATGCTCTACTACAATTGTTTTTGGAAATTTCCCTTCCTCTCCATATTGGGAGCTGTACAGAGATGTTGGTTGGAATTGGAGGGTCTATCCCTTACAATTAGACCACTCTTTGGTATCTGCCTGTGAGCTCTGAAGTTACCTAGTTGGTTGTGTTCACTGTGCTTTTCCTGTAGACTGTAACTTCTCTTTATTTTTCTATTCTGTAAGTTGAAATAGTCATACAGCTTGCTTTCATGCTAGGATAGACAAGAAAATACTGTCTGAAAGAACTGTTTTGCAACTCTTGTTTGGCTGACAGCAATTGACAAATTGACATAAACCCTTGATCTCACTTGGTGTAGATGAAAGCTATTGCTTGTTGGGTCCTTTGGTTCTGAAAACTCACTGTAATGTATTTGGAAGAAATCTATACATTCCGCTTCAGTAATATAATAGAACTGTGCTCTGTTTTTAATAGTAGAGGATAGGAATGTTAGAGATTGGCATGAACCAGTTCATCCCTGTTCATCAGAGTTCATAAAGGCTGCAGTCCAGGTCCTGCTGCTCCCCTCATCTGCCTCCTGTGACTCAAACAGCCACTCGCCAGGCTAAGCTTGCTTGTTTTTTTCCTCCTCAACTGATATTCCTGGCAAAAACTTGGGCTTCTCTGTTCCTCCCTCTCTGTTGATCTCCCACTCAGACAAAAGGGCAAGGCAAAGAAGTCCATGCTCTTGCTTGTGACTGGGAGATTAGCTGAGGAGGTGGAAAAAACAAGCAATCTGGGTCTGGTGAATGGCTGTTTGAGCCAGAGGAAGCGGGGAGGGGAGCAGCTGCATCTGTGCTGCTGCCTTTACTAACTAGGATGAAACAAACAAGTTTGTGCCCATCTCTGGTTTCTGGAGTTTTATCCTAATACTGGGTCGCCTTGAATGTTTCTTCTTGTCTTAAAGACTCTGAAACCACATCTTCTCCATCTTTCCAGTTTGCATATCCGCAGTAGCCATTGGCTGAACTACTGTGTAGCTTGCAAACATTAATTTCTTAGGAAACTCCTCAATCCTGAAGAGTGTGTAGTGGTTGGTGCTTTGTCCTCTACACATACATCATTTGCCATCTTATGGTGACTGACATGAGTGGACCCACACAAAAACAAATCAGAAAAATCTCAGCAGGGTTCCATTCAAGAACTTAGCATTCAGGGCCTTGTTGTTGAAGAATCTGAATGTGTGAGTAGAAAAGGTAAGAATTTTCCTTGATCTCTGCTCTGCAATTCTATACGTGCCTTGCAATTACATCTTTGTATAACTCAGGCTTACCTTTGAATAGAACAGAATTGCACTCTTATGCTTCAAATATCCCAGTTCATTTTATGTACTGTATTAACTATCAAACTATTTTCTTTTTTTCATCATCCTTTATAAATCATACTACCTTACTCTGGTGCTCTATCCCCCCATTTTTCACTTTTCTTGCAGCATTGTCAAACTTAAAATTTTATTCCAGAGGACATATGCTTAGCACTATGTGGTAAAATATCCATTTCGTGTTTGTGCATGTTGCTAAACTCAATTTGTTTTCATTCTGAGCTCAAAATTACTCAGCTAAGTTTAAATGACATGGGAAAAATGCAAGAGAAACAGGTAAGGACATCTGAAATAACTACCTCTCCAGATAAAACTGGAGAGACAGTTATTTCAGATGTTGGCAGCTGTAACAATGGCAAGTTGTCTTACAATCATGTGAAAAAGAAAGTACACCCTCTTTGAATTCTGTGGTTTTACATATCAGGATATAATTAAAACCATCTGGTCCTTAGCATTTCTGAAAATTAGGTATTTATTTGATTGATTGATTGATTGATTTGATTTGTATCCCGCCCATCTGGTCTATACGACCACTCTAGGCCAGTGGTCCCCAGCCTTGGTCCTCCAAATGTTCTTGGACTTCAATTCCCAGAAATCCTGGACAGCGGAGGTGATGGTGAAGGCTTCTGGGAGTTGCAGTCCAAGAACATCTGGAGGCCCAAGGTTGGAGACCACTGCTCTAGGCGGCTGAGGTAAACATAACTTCAGATGAACAACACGTGACATTTTACACTGTGCTATGATTTATTTAACAAAAATAAAGCCAGATTGGACAAGTCATGGGTGAAAAACTAAACCGTATGATTCAATGACTTGTAGAACCACCTTTAGCAGCAATAAGTTGAAGTCATTGTTTTCTATATGACTTTATCACATTGTGTGGAGGAATTTCAGCCCCCATTTATTTGCAATGTTGCTTCAGTGCATTAAGGTTTGTTTCCTCCTTGGCATTGTGTTAACACACACCTGAATGCTCCAGATCAGGAAACTGCTAAGACTTTGGCTTTTACAGAGGTGCTCATTCAGGTAAAAGCCAAAGTCTTACTAAGACTTTGGCTTTTACAGAGGTGCTCACACTTTATGATGATCAGTTACTCAAGGGCGTTTGGTTAACAGCACCTGACTGCTACTAGGCCTCTTAATTCCTAGGGAAGCAATAAGGATGTACTTAGGTTTTCACACCTGACTCCTCCATTTGGCTTTATTTTGTTAAATAAACCATGACACCGCATAATATATTCTGTGTTGTACATCTGCGGTTGCATTTATCTAATATTCAGACCTGCTTAGGGCCAGATGGGTTTTTATTATATCCTGATACGTAAAGCCAAAGAATTCAAAGATGGTGTATTTATTTTTTCATACGACTGCAGATTTGGGAAGCAGAAAGCTGTAGCATTTTTGGCAAAATCATCCTCACTGTAGATGCACCAGTGTAAAGTTTTTTGAAAAAGAAGCTGTTTTTCTGTACTGTTTTGGGCACTTCATAGGTCCCATGCCTATTAATGTGTTCATGATTTCTGCACTAGCTACATATACTTTGTCCTTTCTTTATTGAAGCCATCTTGAACTTACTTCCCCCACAATGGCTGTTTAGACCCCCACAGCTTAAAGTCACTTTGAATTTAACAAAGTGTAGCATTGTGAGCTCCTATACAACTTTACTGGTTTGAATAATTAGCTTATGCTTTGAATAATCTGTTTCAGGATTGGAACTCTTTTATCCAGGTACGGTGCCCAAAGTCTCTTACAGTTTCTCATGCTGAGTTTCAGAATCTAGGAGTTCATGTTTCCCAAACCCAATATATGTTTCTGAAACCAAAGTATGTCAGATTAAAGGACACAAAATGTGGAGCATAGACATGGCCTCAATAAACTAATCAACTGTTTTCTAGTTGAGGCTTTTCCTTTCAGAGGTGCAGTTAACTCTGGCATCTCTTCTAGATGGCTTTTCATCCTTTCCAGCTGGTCATTTTCTGGCTGATGCTTCTTGTTGTCACAGCCAGTGAGGAATTTGAAGACAACTAGAATACAGTACCTTGGAGCCTTGAGAAAAAGCTGTTTCCATATGCTAGTAACCAATTGCTCCTTGAAACTACAGTTCCTTAAATCCCACTCTTAAATTTGCAGGCCTTAGAGAGGGAAGAAGGCAGTTGAGCTAAAATGTAGACATTTTTGAAAGCTATTAACGTGTGTGTTTCTCATTCTAGGGTTTGGGGTTTGTTTTTTTGGGGGGGGGTTGAGGTTTTTTTATTATATAAAATCCATCCATGTTGATTTAACATCGTGCCACCTGAGTACAGCTTATATTCATTTGTTGAAACAACTACCATACACATTACGCTCCTAATCTATACAACATCCTTCTAACCATTGATAGAACAAGTCCCATGTTTGATAATATTTTGTATCTTCTTTCCCTTTGATTTTCAGTGTTAGTCTATCCATTTTGGCGCAGTCCAGTATCTTTTTATTTCTTGATTTGTAGGTGTTCGCTTTTCCAGTACTGTGCATATATAATCCTCGCGGCTGCTAAAATATGCAGTATTAAATATACATTTTGTTTATCAACACTTTCTGGTATTATACCTAACAGAAAGAGCTCTGGCCTAAAGTCTACATGCTTTTTAATTTTAACAAGCCATGTATGTATTTTGTTCCAAAAGTTTTTTGCTTTATCACAAGTACACCAGAGGTGATAATAGGTTCCAGTTTTTTTATGACATTTCCAACATTTACTTGACCTATTAGAATACATCTTAGATAATCTATCAGAAGATAAATGTCATCTATAAAACATCTTATATACCATATTTTTCACTCCATAAGACACTTTCTCTCCAAAATGGTGGGAGGGAAAGTACATGCATCTTATGGAGTGAATGCAGTAACCCAGGGTTCAGCCACCACCACCCAAAAGCCTCCCACTGCCATGCTGGGAGGCCTCTGAACTGGCAGCAGAGACTGCTTGCTGTTTGGACCTCACCATT